TATTTTTTTGGCAATAATGATGTTATGGTTGCTGGATTTTTCTTTTGTTTTTTCTTTGTTTTTTTTTTGCTCGCGTCCATGTAATCTTCTGTGCTATGCTGGTATCAGGATGTTTCGTAGAAATCCATATATATGTTTTTAATACACCGTATTTGGTATTGTAATGTTAGCTTATGAACTTTATTGTTATACACATCTTTGTAATTGTCCCACCTGCCTTGTATAGGGTTCACTGGCCTCGTCAAGCTGTCCATAAACAGCTTTTAGCCAGTGAACCTATCCTGAACCTGTTTCTTTCTGGGAAAATAAAATGATTTGATTTGATTTCATTTGTTTCATCGACAGCATGTGAAAGCGTGGCAATTCAGGCAGCCCTGAGAAAACTGAAGTTTTGTAGGCAGCAAGAAATCGTGCTGTTCTCGGACAGTAAGCCCGCTATGCAGCGGCTAAAACATGGTTTGATTTCGGATCGATGCACTCAAAGATCACTGCGAATCCTTAAAGACCTGCATGGCATGGGTATAAACATTACGTTTCAATGGATTCCATCACATGTGGGTATAGCGGGTAATGAGGCGGCTGGCAGACTTGCCCGGAGTGCTCTGGAGTTTACACCAACAAAGAAGGCTCCCAAAGACAATCAGCGTATCTTACGAGAAGCTGTAAACAAGCATTTTCACTCGTCATGGCTGACCCTTCACCAGCCATGTGTGACACAAGGGCTATCAAGGGAAGAGGCCTGCTTGCTTCATCGCATTCGAACGGGATCAGCGCATGACTTCACAAGATCAGACTGTCCGCGACGGCCTTGTGCCCGAAGTGCAAGGAAAACGGTGATATAGAACACGATTCGCTTAAATGTTGTGCGCTTAAGAAGGAACGGCAAGGTTCATTTGAGAAACTGCAACAGTTAGGCTCACCATGCGACAGCGTGACTGATATTGTGTTTCCGCGCGGTTCCTCGATCTTCAGGAAACAAGGGTCGCGACTTCTCTTGAAATTTTCGATTGCTACAGACCTCACATGTGACTGGTGATAAGTGACAATTATGTTTGGTGTATAGTTCAGCGAGATAGAGTACCGGCACAGTACTGCACGCGTAATAGCACAAAGGCAGCTGTCTCATGAAGGCTTACATCGCGCTATGAATGGAATGGAATGAAAAAAGTTTATTTCAGTCCCGCAGGACGCGCTTAGCGCGTAGCGAGCGTCTCCCACGTAGGGACCGACAGGGAGTACCTGGCGGCCGCTTCGTGGGCCTGCTCGACGGCCCATTGCTGGTCGGCCAGAAGTGAGCTCCTGAGGGATGTCTCCCACTTGCTTGAGGTAGAGTCGGGAGGAGTTGTTCTACACTCCCAGAGCATGTGAGCGAGTGTCGCTGTGTGTCCACATGGTGGACATGTGTCGCTGGGGTATGCATCGGGATAATAAACGTGAAGCGTGGCAAGGTTTGGGTACGTGTGTGTCTGTAATAGGCGTAGGGTTAATGCCTGTGGTCGGTTAAGTTTCGGATGTGGGGGTGGAAAAATGCGGCATTCCAGGTAAAAGTGCTTTGTAATTTCGTTGTACGTAATTGGTGCATCCCGATTGGTATCGAACCCAGCAAGATGAAGTTGCCCTGTGGCAGTACGGTCGGTGAGTGCGCGCGCTGCATCATGGGCGATCTCGTTGAGGTTGGATAGGGCACCCGGCACCTTGCCGAGATGGGCGGGGAACCAGATGACAGTGTGGTGCTTCAGGGCACTGGGGTCCGTATTGTGCTGGTTACGTAACGCCTGGTCGGAGATGACTCCGTGTTCGAAGGCTTTGATGGCCGGCCTGGAGTCGCTGTAGATGAATTCCCGTTTGCTGTCGAGCATAGCTATAGCTATAGCTACTTGCTCCGCTACTTCGGGGTTTCGGGTGAGGATTGTGGTTGAGTTAAGAGTCTGCTGCGCGGATGATACCGCGACCGCGGCGAAAGCTTGGTTGTTGCGATAGGCAGCGGCGTCCACGAATGAGACGTTGTCCGCTTCCATGTCTATGCGCTTGAGAATGGCGGTCGCCCGCGCAAGGCGTCTGTCTCTGTTGTATTCGGGGTGTACATTTCGTGGTATGGGAGCGATCGTGATAAGGTCGCGGATTTCACGGGGAATTAGAGTCAACTCTGCAGGGTCCCTGGCCCTCGAGGAGAAGAAGCCAAGCTCGCGCAGAATATGGCGACCCGCCTTGGTGGTAGTGAGTTGGGTCAATTGCACGCGTTCCTGGGCTTCGGCGATCTCTTCTAGCGTGTTATGTACGCCACGCTCGAGGAGTTTGTACGTTGGAGTGGTGATAGGGAGGCCAAGGGCTTGTTTGGCCACCTTGCGAATAAGCGCATTGAGTTGATCGCGCTTAGCACGTAGCCATTTGTGTATAGCGGCTACGTAGGTAAAATGGCACAAAACAAACGCGTGTACGAGACGCAGCAGGTTGTCTTCTTTGAGGCCATGGTGCCTGTTGGCTACTCTACGTACGAGTCGTATGGAATTCTCAGTCTTAGTCCTGAGCTGGTGTACTGTTTGGGTGTTGATTCCGCGGGACTCTATGATCATGCCGAGGACCTTGATGGTGTCTACCCTGGGTACAGTACGATGATCTCTGGTGTGGAGGGTGATATTGCGTTCCACCGGAGGTTTCCACCCTTTGGGCTTGGCACCCCGGCGTTTGGGCCAATATATCAACAGCTCCGACTTCGCAGGTGAGCACCTGAGACCGGTGTGGTCGAGGTAAGACTCGGCGGTGTCGATAGCCTCTTCCAGGGCGGACTCAATGAAGCCGCTATGTACGATTTTTATTTTAAGAGCCTGCTCGTGATTAGTTAAAAAACAAACAAAGGACACAGCTTCATTTAGCAAAGAGGAAACCGGGCGGGGCAATTGCCTGAAAATTATGCAAGGCTAGATCCGCCGGATACCTACAACATGCTTAACCTTAACCTTGGTCATTGAAGTCGGTCGTGGGGTGGCGGAACTGGCGGACAGAGTCGCGGAAGCATGGCAGCTGGTGACTCGTCGAAGGGCGCGTTCATCGGGTCACCACTGTGGCACTTGAAGATTGCGTCCTGTATCACGTCGAGGTCGCCGCTGAAGCTAGGGGCAGAGTGAGGTTCTTCTCTTCTCTGCGACGCTGATGCAGCTGCCGCTACAAGTTCTTAAGAGGCCCCTAGAAAGCGCACGTGGTTAGGTGCTTACTGTAGTAAAGTTTGCCAAAAAGTGATGTTGACAAGAGTATTTTGAAATTGGAATCCACGTGAAAAAGCAATGCAGCACCCCCACTTCGTTGACTAAAATGGCTGTTGCATACAGCGACGTAACTTGGTTGTGAAAGCTATGAGTCGTTTACATGTGCGCACTTAGCCAAGCTTCAGTAATATAAATAATGTTAAGCGAATGGTACAACACTATGGTGAATGAAAAGTTTTTGTGTTGCCCCATACCATCAAAGTGAAATGTGTCTCGATAGCAGTTGTTGGTTTATTCTACATTGTTATAGGAATGCTCCCGCAAAGTCCAGAAGCTATGCCTTCCTTTGACGTTTAGTATCTAGGTTGACACTGGTAGACCAGCACACTTTCAGCCCAATGACTAACTTCCACGATCATGAATAAACTTTAGCAAAGTAGTTGAAGTTAAAACTTCGACACAACTTATCATGCACCCTGCGCAAAGTTGGCATCAACATGTATATAAAAATTACTGGCACTCAACTCGCACTCATCCAATGTGTCATCACTTCGAGAGATAAAAATAAGCAAAGCTGATTCTTTTTAGACTTGTATCAAGCTATACCTGTTCTCTCAAAGACAGTGCCAGAGAGCGCTTCATAAGCGCGAAAAGCCGAGTTAGTAGCTTATGCCGTACACGCGTGAAGCCGTCCCCTTTCCCGCTTTAGTGTCTGTCGCTTAAACATCGCAATGACTTGTGCGATGTTTTAACATCGCACAAGTCATCGACTTGATCGACTTGCCGCGTGGCACCTGACGGAGAAGGTTTTTAGTCCATTCTATCGCCCTCAACAGACAGGCGTAGAAGATCCATCATTATGGCTGACGACAAGTCGTGACACCCTAAGAAGACGCGAAAGACCATGCTCGTAACTGCGTCGTCACTGAGTTATATCGTCATGTGGAACTTATCATAGTGTTTTCTACGAAACTGCACACAAAGCCTGCTCTTCACCGACTGCCAACTTTTGGTTGTAGGTGCACTTTTGGTTCATCATGCAATACTTCATTTCACTGTTCAAACGCGACGGTACTGATCTCTCCAACCAGGCGCACTACGATACCCAGAACCTGTGAGCGATATCATCATCATCATCTGCCTGACTTCGTCCGCTGCAGGACAAAGGCCTCTCCCATGTTCCGCCAGTTAACCCGGTCCTGTGCTTGCTGCTGCCAATTTATACCTGCAAAATTCTTTACCTCATCTGCCCACCTAACCTTCTGTCTCCCCCTAACCCTCTTGCCTTCTCTGGGAATCCAGTCAGTTGCCCTTAATGACCAGCGGTTATCCTGTCTACGCGCTACATGCCCGGCCCATGTCCATTTCCTCTTCTTGATTTCAGCTATGATGTTCTTAACCCCCGTTTGTTCCCTAATCCACTCTGCTCTCTTCTTGTCTCTTAAGGTCACACCTACCATTTTTCTTTCCAGCGATATAAGGCAGGATAATTAGGCGTTGTATCTGTAAGTCAGTGAGAGTAGGTGCAAGGGATGAGATGAATTGGCACTGATCAAGAGGCCACGGGATTGATTCACAAGTAATATGTGTAAAAACCTTTTTGTTCTAGATTTTATTGTCCTATATTGGTGCGCTTTTTATGTGTGATATGTAATAGCAGTGACTGACGTCTTTATAGTCTTGGTAGACCCCGGCATAACACGCTTTCATATTTAAAATGGACTGGTTTTAGTTTTCAGTGTTTTTCACCTAGCATACAGAATGGAAGCCAATACTTAAGGTAAGTCTTTTTTACAGGCTACCATGGAGACAGTGGAGAAGTGCCAATTACTTTTCCCAGTTCACACACAAAAGCCAGTGACCTGTTTTTGGAGGCTGGTCAGGAACTTGGTTACAGCAACGACGACTATAATGGGCCAAACCAGACAAGTAAGATATTCAGAAATCAAAGTATGTGCTTCTGGAAGCACGCTTACAAGCTCTAAACAGGAAGAAAATAAAGTTTCTACCATAACGTGCTATTGTTAACACAACTAGAGTGTACTAGAACAACGGGGGGTTCGAAACAAACTTTGAAATGTGGTGTCTGAACAGTATCAATTACTTCGGGGGCTGTGAGCGGTCGCCTGAAATGTGTGATCGTCGTTTGAAGGGTTGTGCGTGGTTGCGCCAAGGTGATGCAGAAGTAGAATAAATTGAGAAGTAGAATAAGGGCTCAAATCACAGAAGGAGATGTTCAGTTTTTATTTTTGTAGTGTATCTTGGTATCGCCTCATTATTTTTAAATATTTCGAGAAAATAGCTTCAGTTGTTAAGCATTTCGACAAAGGGTAACTTCAGATGCGTAGCAAAGTGGAACAAATTTGACTCTTAGTGTAAGAAGTTGCAGCGCCACCCCTCCGTACTCAACATAAACGTAAAATTCCACTCCGAAATCTTTGCGAATACAAGGAATCTCAGAGGTCATACATTACGTTTTTGAACAACGCTGTGCGGTGGTGCTTAAAATAGTGAATCATGTCATTCCACACGGTGCATTCTGCGTTGCATCAATGTCTAACGAAGATTGCCATTTTTCTCCATTCCCATATGGAAGCGGTAAAAGAAGGTTACTGGAGCGCCCTCCTGAGTTTGTCGCAATACTCCACTTCGGAGTTAGTACCGGCTTGTTGTACGTGACTTAGTATGCTTTCTCAGTAATCTAATTTCGTTTTCTTGTCTTCATTGTTAAAATATTTTACCTATCCATTTTTAAGTGTAAAGTTGACTGAACAACAAGCTATCGCTATTGGCAGGCAAATTTACCGCCCACCAACATGTTGAAAGTTTGACTGCACAATAGTCTGCGGCTATTTGCACAAAACGTTAGTCATCCCCACATATATTGCAATTAAGCAACAGAGCGTTCTGTCGCTATGCGCAAAGCGATTTCGCTTCTTAAGTCATGCCTACAAAGCAACAGAGTAGTGGAATTCTGAAAAAATTTCGTAGGCCCCACGGAAACAAACAAGAGATTAGCAATTAATATGGAGGTGGGTATTGCTCATATCCGGGGACACTCATACGTATAATGAGGACATGAACGCATTTCAACACACACAACACAAACACTTCAGAGTCATGAGAGTCTCTTTTGCGTGCCTCCGAGCCAGAAGACTAATGCCGGCTCATCCAGCACGCGGTGGAGCCTGCAGTATGCCAGGGGATCCCTGCCGACCTCCTCTCAAATAGCCCAACCAGTCCCTTCTCTAGTCCCTTCAATTTTATTCTTCTTCCTGGGACGAATACAGATATCACCACCACAGCACATTCGCTACTGGCAGGTGAAAGACGTCATTAGCCTATCAGCGCGCATGGGTGAGATTACTAGTGCGCACTTTCTGATTCTCTCTAAATGTCAGTGCACCTATCATAAGCAGCCAAGTTTTCCTTGCGGAAGTACTGTATCTGAGCTTCCCGCTATTTCTTACCCTGCGGCTACATGTGCAGTCTGACACGGGCTGTTTTGCGTATACTTGGTTTAGAGGAGAACGGAGCACTGCTCTACTGTACAAATACATTTAGGGAGGTCGACTACATAATTCAGTGTCTTCGAGTGCTGTGCCGCGCACAGCCGTGGCGGCAAAGTCTGCCTTCTAAATCATAAAAACAGCGCAGATGGAATTCAGAGTAGACGATGCATCCGCTGTGACCAAATCATGATGTATAGCACTTCACGCAATGCGGTGGTGTCAACTTTTTCAAAGCTAGCCATTGCAGCTGATATTCTTTATTATGAATAAACAAGAGAAATTCAAACTTATGCGTATGCACTTTTATTTCTTTCAGGTTTTTCCCGCGTACAAAATAACGTAAAGAATGGAGAGCGCTGGAGCTCAAGTAAAGCCTTCATCCCCAATGACGTTCGCAGGAGGCGCAACTTGGACGTCGCACTTCACGCGCACGTGACGAAGGTGCGAGGCTTATTTCAATCAATCTGTTTTCTTACATATATAGTCAAGTATATCCTCCGTGAGCGGTCACAACGTGATTTATTTTGACGTTTCGGCCTAAAGTCTGGCCTTCATCAGAATTGAAGGTACAGTTCGTTGGTGCTCAGCTTTATACAATCCCAAATCAAAGGGAAAGAGGGAAAAAGGCAGAAAAAAAAGAAAGAAAAAAAAGAAAAAGAATATAGGTGGACTACCCCCGGGCGCCCCCCCCCTTCCACTCTTCCTTTCACATCCCCCTCCATCTCTCTTCCTTTTCTCACCTTCACCTTTCTGATGTCAGTAGTCTGTGTATGCTTCCTTTCACTCACGCATTCTGTCCGACCAGACGGCGCCTCTTGGCTTTGGCGGTTCGGTGTGGGACCAACAAACTGTACCTTCAATCCTGATTAAGGCCAGACGCTAGGCCGAAACGTCAAAATAAAGCACGTTGTGACCGCTCACGGAGGATCTGCTTGACTATATGCAATGCTACGGCCATTCAACCACCATGCGTATATATATATATATATATATATATATATATATATATATATATATATATATATATATATAAGGGAAAGAAGTGTATACCTAAGGGCTCGTTTTTCCGTGTTTTTAACACAATAATAATGTGATATAACAGACAGTAATGCCAAGGAATGTACAGGGGAAGTTATTAACATTAATGGAATGTAAATAAGAAGAAAGAAAAGTGGATGAAAAAATTACCAACTGTAAGCAGGAATCGAACCTACGACCTTCGAATTAGGGGTATCGTGTATATGTTGCGTAATTGGGCATGGTTTGGGCATCCTTAATAGTTATTTTGTCTTAACTACTCCTATTTATTGAATAATGGAGAAGTGCTGCCTTCAACGAATGGTGGGACGCTCATGTTGGGTTGTGCCTCACTACTCGTTGAAGGTATGGTTGCTTTCACCGCATTTACTCGAGTCAAGCAAAGCTTCAAGTCAAGCGACAACCAAGTAAAGACGCCCTTGACTGAACTCTAAAAGCCACCATGCGCACCCAGTCCGCCCTTCTCATACACACCGCCCGCGTTCGAGGAAGAAAAGTCGGCTGAGAGGTCCACACCCCTAGTGCCCTTGCTCGGCTTGCTGGGCGCCTGGTGGCTTATGAAGCGACAGTATTGCTAGTGTCTTCTAGGGCCGGCATGAGAGGTGAGTATGAGCAGTGGTGGTGTCGACGGCAGTGACGCAAAAGTGCGACATGGTGCGACTAAGAAATGCTGCACATTTAAATTGTTCTTTTCAACATGTTTATCTTCAATTGAAAAGGCTGAAGCAAGCGTCACAAGTAGGAACTTTTTTCAGGTTATCTTCGAGGGAATGACAGCTGCAGGCGTGGAGTACAGGCGATACTTCAAAACACGTACTGTTCGAGCGAGAAAAGAAGTCATACTTTGCGCTGGAGCGATTGCTTCCCCACAGCTACTAATGCTATCCGGTATCGGACCTCGGGAACATCTGGAGTCCTTGGGGGTAAGAAATCTCTTTGGGTCACTTAGATGCCATTGTTCATTATTGATGCTTCTCAGGTGGCTGAAATAATTGCGTTTTGAGCAAATCAGGGGATCTAGTACTTTCCGACATATCATTACGTCTTCAGCCACTGAATCAGCCTGTGTCTCTGAAGTACACTCCCATTCAGAATTTCTCCACATCTGTCAATGCTGTACTTTTATTATGTCTAAACACTGCCTGTGCGAACAGCTTACAGTACCGATTCAGTCAAGCAGCGAATCCGAACTGCAACAACTGCGGCTTCATCGAAACTGTGGAACACAGGCTGTTTATGTGTAGAGCATATGCGGGTTACCGTGCACGCTGGGAACATTGCATAACTTCAGTAAATAAGAGAGCTTTCTCACTTGACTGTGTATTCGCATCTTTAGCCTGTGTCACGCTAAAGACACGTGGCATGTAACTTTGATTCGCGTATTCGTACATTATCGGTGAGCTCAGCGAACTCTAGCATACCTTGAAACCCCACAATGAGAATCTAATACTGCACGTTCTCACTCATGGATAAAATTATGGTCTTCAATTTTCTCTCTTTTTTATTTATTATTTCATAACACCATGCCTTCTATGCACGTCGTTACGTCTCTTCTATCCCCACTTTCAATCTCCAGTCCCCTTCCACACGAAGAGTAGCAAATAAGCGATTGGCGTATTGTGTATAAATTTTCTTCTTTCAGTAAAGGTTATCTCTCTGTCTTATATGCTTTTCTCAAACTTCTGCTCCCAATACTGTGTGCGCTGGGCTACAACTCTAGGTCTGCAGAGAGCTCTTCTCCACTGGCCTTAAAAATTAAACATGCGAACAGGAAACGTCTTTCGAATAATTCGCAATGTCGTCGCCTGTAGAGTCGCACAGGGTGCGTTCAATAACGCCACACGCAGAGTGTATCGGAGTCGCTGAGCACATGGGCAACCTGCATGCATTGTGTGTTTTTTTTTGGCTTCGGCGATGGCGTTACCCTTCTTGCAATTTCATACCGAGAGCCTTCAGAAACTCGGATACAATGCCTCGTTGAAAGCAAAAGAGGTGCCTGATGCCAAGCACATCACTTGTTGGTGGCGTCGATGCCCATGCACGCGTTGCCTTCCACTAAGAACGGCCTCACAATTATGACGTGGTTCATCACGCAAAACCGAAAATAGTGTTACCAATCTGTATTTTCTTTCGCGTCCTCAGCTTTTTTTAGTCTGCATCACCTGTCACACATTGGCAGTCCAGTAGGCGCTTGTGCTCATGAAGTCAAATCTTCATGTAGAGAAAGAAAATACACATTTTTTACAATACTTTTGTGGCTCTACGCCTAGTGGAATGTGCTGCACTGGTGAAAACCATATGAAACGATGTTATTGGACGTAGGATGCCATGTCAAATTGTCCCGCGTGGATATATGGAGATATGTGTTTGTCGTGCACGAGACATGCACGAGAACTTGGTAAGTAGTGACTGCTTCAAACTATGTTTGTTATTATTGGTATGTGGAGGCTATGAAATAATAACACACCTGCAGAATTGAGGTTCTCCTCTATATTCTAGTACATAGTTTTCACATGTTCTGCTACATCTTTTAAATTATTTATTACTAATAGTATCTGTTGGGCAAGTATGGTAGCCAGTGTATGTAGCATCTTGTACACATCATCTGTCGTAAAAAGCTCGTGTTAGTTTATATAAGTAGTATTCTAAAGTAAAATATACACACAACTACATGGCTTCCGTTTTTGTGGCCTTTTCGTCGGTCATCAGTTTCACAAAGTCTACAGATTTCGCGTTCACAGTAAATTGTAGAGCTGTCTCGTGTTCTTTGATGATCTAGAAATCACCTGTACAGGCTAGCTGTGTTGTGCCGCATAAAGATTGTGCTTTGTGCAAAAGAATATGACATACTAAAAGGGGTTATATGTAAGTCAAACAAACTTACTCATGAGTCAACGAGCGCATACTTATCAGATCAAGCAGCACGTTTGAGTCGGAGTAAGTTTGTGTGAGTGTCAATTAGGCAAGTTTCTGTCGCAGAATCTGGTTCGGAAAAATTTTGGGGAGGAGTTCGAGTCAGCCATAAGCACAATGTTCATTTCTTTAGTGAGCATGCATGAGCTTCAATTTTATGTCAAATTAGGGTAATATCTACTCAACTCCATCACTATCAGCATTATTCCGGCTTATGATCATGGCACTGCCTACCCACATGATTCAGTGCATGACAGCTTCATCTAAAGACTTGTTGATCAGAGGCCTAAGTTACATAAGTGTATCTTTGGCCTCAGCGCACAATCTATCGCACAGGACAATATTGGTAGAACTATCTCGTGTGAGTTGGCTTTCGATAAAATTGTGCTTACTGAATTGCCACTGATAAGTCATAATGAAAGGTGCGATGTGAAAATGAACTAAGGAGGGCACCAATTAGGTTAAGTATAGGCATCGTACTACGAATTTCAACAGTTTCTGTATTGTTGCTTCTAAGAAAAGTTGAGTTGCCAGAAATGTATAGCTGTTGAAAGGGTAGGTAATGAATGTTTATAGAACTGCTTCTTAAAATATTTTGGTTTTCATATCGAGGGTGGTGGTATTATAGTGATAGACAGTGTGGTGTATGTCTAAGTCAAGAGGGTACAGTAAGAAGCACGGAGTAGATAGGTGTAAGTTGTACATGTTGCGTGTAAGCAGTGAAGAGTGAATGGACATGTATTTGTTTGAAGAGAAATTTTGGTTGCACACAGACAGAAAGTTTGCAAATAAAGTGAGCTGTTCTATCTTGATGCGATAAGCTCTATTATGGGTGTTACCTTACTGATGCGGGCATTTCAACAAAAGCTTCGGAAACAATGCACGTATGCCACAATAAATTGAAATAGTGCTGCAAGAAGCATGCCATTATGGTTTATGTAATGAGGCGGTGTTTCAATAAGCTGCATGGGCCAAGTTGCCTTGGTTATTTTTTGTTAAGGGTCTAGCATACTCTCCAGGGAAACGAAAGCTTCAAAATGAAACCAAATTTTGGTTATACGTGTTCCTGGTTTCAGTGTTAGTCGTGAGTGTTGACACTAAATGCCAAGGAAACTAAAGAGCAATGACACCGCTGTTGGAAAAACAACTTATAAGTTAACATACTCATGATTCAACTCACTGAAAATGATTGAGCCACGAGTCTGGGAGCGACCAGCTGAGTAATATTTTGGTGAGCTTTAGTATGAGTCTGGTTGAGAAAAAATATTAAGGGGTCTGAGTTTGAGTGAATATGGTTGAAGAAAATCTTAGTGCAAGACACAAACACAAAATATAATTCAGAGCCCACCAGAACACATCCAACCAGAACGAATCTCACCAGTGTGTTCTTTCCACTGGAACACATCCCACCTGAACAAGTCCTACCAGAACATACCACTTTGTTGGCTTTCCCACCAGGACACACCAGAGCGGGTTCATATATCCACCAACACACAGCACACTATGCTGATGTGTACACCTGGACACAGCAGTGTTTTGGTGTATTCAGCGGATCACAACAAATCACACCAGGCGCACCCTATTATGTTTTTCAATTTGGTGCGCCATATCAATTTTATTATGGATCCCATCATAGAAACAGCCAGGAGAGCTAAAAGTCGTAAGTGGCTAGATAGACAGAGAGATATATACAGTAAATGTCATCGAAGTTTGCTGAGAAGCGCTTCACATTTAAACAGTGTGCAATTCTAACATGCCTGTACGTACGAGCCCTTGACAAAGGAAAAGCAAATACATTGTCCTCAGGAACAGAGTGGCTTTGCTGCATCACTTGTGCACAAGAGCGCAAAATCAGTTTACACTGTTACTACTTTGATTAGGACGATTCCTCTGTCAACTTCTCTGTATATATGATTTCCTACGTACGTAATAGAAGATAGTTATTTACATTACCGCAGCACGTATGAAGGGAAGTGTAAGGTTTTCTTCTGCAATCTGTGAATTCTCGGGCGGAAACATTCCTGACATTGTGATAATGTTTCACAAAGCAACCACACGTCCGAACTGGAAGAGCCTTAAGCTTCGCATTTATGAGTTTACGTGATAGTCATATGCGGTATTTAATGCGCACATTCAACACATATGCAGAAATTATATATGACGTTGCTATACACCATGTACGTGGCCTTAACGGAAAATTTGCTGAAACTTGTTTGGGGTTTGATGTGGATGACCAGCTATAAAGACGCCCTGCAACACTTTTTGAGCATGGTCGGAAAACGTTGCCGATCGGTAACAGAGGGTCCAGAGAACACGCGCACCAAATGTTGTAGCGCAGCACGCGGGTTGCGATTACAATAAATTCTCAAATTGAGCTGGAAATTGCTTTCTTTTCTCTCGAGAAATGACAGATGAAGCTCAAAAAACGCCAGGCCTGCGGGGAAGGCGCAGCACACTCACAGTGAAAGGTAGAAGAGCGGCCTTTCAGAGCCTTTTAAACGACTCAAGTCAAGTCAAGTGAAGATCCTTGACAATGCGGCACATACCCACGCTGGGAAATTGGCCAAGAACCGAATAGTTTTCATAAAATTCTTCCTTAATAACAGGTTTTAAATTAATCTATTTGCGACAAATAGAAGAAAGACGCAGCAAGACGAATTTGATAGTTTAATTGTAAATAATCTGTAGTGTAATGCAATTAAGCGTCGTATTTGATTTAATATGAATTTGGAAATTTGAAAATCTACCGAAGAATGATTTGAACACTCAAACCTTTTTGAACTTTTGCCGAACCCCTGTAATGCGTCAACATCTTCCCGTCGCTGTGGCCTAGAGACGAAGCCCCAAAAGAAAGCAAATTTTGAGCATTTAAATCTAATCCGAGAAGGTGGCAAACGTCACCTAAAGTGTTTTGACATAAGGCAGAGAATCTATTACAATAAATGAGGTAATGTTCAGTTGACTTATTTACTTGAAAACAGGACAATGAGGAGAGGCTGCCAGACATGCT